ACGAGTTCAAGGCCAGACTGAGCAACTTAGCAAGGCTCTAAGCAACAAGTTGAGACCCTGTCTCTAAATGAAACATAAAAAAGGGCCTGGGGATGTGGCTCAGCGGTTACGCACCCCTGGGTCTAATCCCTGCCTGTGCCAGCCTGTCTTGAGGACAGGTCATGTGACAGACGCCTGGCACCTGGCACCGTGGGTCACGCTGCCTTGCCTCTCACAGATGGGTACCCCTTTAGGAAATCCCCCCTAATTATGAAGTTACAGATCTGAGTGGTCACACGGGGGAGAAGCACATTCATTAGGAGACCAGGCGCATAGCCTGGGCCGTCCCAAGTGTCTCTCCGCGCCAGCTTCCTGAAGACCGCGGTCTCCATAGAGCACATCTCTGAATCTTCCTGGTGGCGGCTTCCATCTGCCAAACACCCAGGAGCCTCTGGCTGGGGAGGGCCTGCGTGGGGGACAGTCCCTCCCTGGAGACTGCCCTGCAGTCCTTCACCCCAGGCTTGTAATCTCAGCTTTAAAGAGGACTCGGATCCCGTCCTCCTGCCCGCTCCATGACTAATCCATTCGCCAGGGCCCCGATCCAAGAGAAAGCTAATTAAAGAATTTCTGCTCTTGGCTCAGCCTGAACTTTGAAGATTCCCCTTGGTCTTCCTGGAGTCTCTGAAAACAGGTGGGGAAAGTGGGTGTTGGAAAGGGCGTCGGATGAGCCCCGAGCCTCGTAATAGTCTTAATCCCCCTAAGCCAGCAGGCATCCAACAGCTTTCCGCCTGCACCGCTGAGAAAGGGCTGGGGCTCCGGGAGGACTCGCGCTGCTGCCCACCCAGCGCCCCAGACCCCGGGGTCCCTGTTCCCTGCTCTCTGAGAACAGGAGGCTGTGCTTGCCCACAGTTACGGCGCTGCAGGGGAAGGACCCGACATTCTCCGGAGAAGTGAAGTGGATGGGGTCCTGAACCTCAAGGCTTGGCGTGGGGAAGTCCCTGTGCCCAGGGCCACCGAGATGCCTGGCAGGCCACAGATGCTTGGTGAAGCTGGGCTCTCACTCCGTGCCCCTCCGCTCCAGGGTCCTCCGCCTCTAGGACATTTTCTTTCACCAACCAGGAATATTTGTTCTACACTCACTGGTGGAACCTGCGCTCCATGGGTTTGGGGTCCTAGGAGTCCCCTGGGCTGCTGTGTCCCCTGTCTGAGTAGCGCTTGGCACACAGCAGTTGTTCAATAATGACTTGACTTTGGGGTGCTGGGGATGAGACCAGGGTCTTGTGCATGCTGAACTCCTCCCCAGCCCTTAACACTGACCTCGTGGCTGGTGGCCAGGTGCTTTCCTCACAGAAAATGTCCCAAGGCCAGGCATTGTGGCCCTGCCCATAATCCCGGTGGCTCAGAAGGCTGAGGCAGGAGGATCACGAGTTCAAAACCAGCCTCAGCAACATAGGGAGGCGCTCAGCAACTCAGTGAGACCCTGTGTCTACATAAAATACAAAATAGGGCTGGGGCTGGGGCTCAGTGGTCGAGTGCCCCTGAGTTCAATCCCCGGTACAAAAAGAAGAACATGTCCTGATGATCTTTGCCTCCAAATGTGGGCAGGCTGCGTGTCTTAGGGTCTGCCCTTCCCGTCGCTCTGAGCTTTGACCAAGCCTGGTGTGACCCTGGGGAGGGTCATGGTGTCTGCTGCTGCCGTGGCCCTGCCCTCACCCGTTTCCCTGGCAGTGCCCGGGCAGGGGACATGTGGATCTGCAGTTCTCCTTGCAGCAGCTCCCCCGGTACTTGCCTGCATCATGAAAATAAAAATGATAAAAACCTGCCACTGAATTCTGGGTGGTAGTAAATTACTTAACACCTGAAACAGGTTGAAATGTGGCCACTGTGGCTTTTAATAAGCCATCTCCCGTGCAGCCGCTTCCGCGAGGAGCCGGCAGGGTCTCTTCTCGAGGCGTAATTTCATTGCGTCCCAGGCTTGGCAGCAGTGCAAATAAGATTTCACTTCCCCTGTAAATCTCCGAGGGGGGAGCGGGATCTCATCCGTGCTGTCAGTTAGCACTCGAGAGAGCCTGTTTACTTTGCCGCTGGAAGAGAGGGTCCTTCAGAGGGGCTGGACGTGGAGGCCAGCAGGGAGGTGGCCGTGTCAGCCCTGGAAGATGATGTGTGTGGAGGTGGCCGCCATGTCGGCTCGGGGAGCAGGCTTTATTTGGGGTGCCTGAAAGTGGACAGGCCAACGCCACCCAGACCTCCTGAGTCAGAGTTGGGGGGCTGGCTGGGTGGCCTCGGTGCAGCTAGGACCTTCCTAAGCAGGATGCCAAGAATCAGCCTTAGAACTTGGGTGCGGGGCTGTAGATCTGGGTGTCAGACTCTTCCCGGGCTTGGACACCTCATCTCCAGGATGCGTGGTGAAGCCAGAGACCCCTCCTGGGAAGGGGGGACAGGAGAAGGGAAGCTTTTGGAACCCAGTGGTAGCCAGGTAGGAGCAGGGCTCAGGGGCAGGAGGACAGCCTTGGGGGCCCTCACTAGAACTGGGACTCTTGGTGGAACAGGTGGAGTTGGACCCAGGAAGCAACAGCCCTGGGCCTTGGGGTGCCCCGTGGCTGTGGGGCAGCCATTTGGAGGTCTTACCCACCCCTGCCCTTAACTTCAGCAATAAGCAAAGCTGAGACTTCTTTGGGCAGGGCAGGTCCTGAAGCTGCCGGGCTGGAGCGGCCTCTCCTGGCATCCGCCTATAGACAAGGTTGGGGGTCTCCAGGGCCAGTGAGTCCCCTGCACTGCCCCAGCACTCATGTCCATCTCCCATCCCCTGTGCTCACTGGAGAGGGCCAGCTCTGCTTGCTCTCCTGTGAGCACAGGGGTCCCACTGCCTCTCAGACCCCCAACTCCTCTTCAGAACAGGCTGGTTACCTTTGGGTGTCCAGAAGGCAGGCACTAAAACCTGAGACGCCCGCTTCCACCCCACCCCACCCCAACCCTCAGTCCTCCCAGAGCCTCAGGCTCAGGCCAGCCTGGACCTGGGCCGTGGCAGGGTGTTTGAGGAGTAGCCCTCGTCCTGTTCAGATGCTGCCCCCCTGTGCCAGCCCCTGGGGCACTCGGTGTACTCTGTGAGGGGCACTGCTTGGCTCCAGGCTCTGTCTGGGGGCCCCAAATGCTCCCTAAACCCTGGAGCGGGGCCTGCGCTCAGGAACCGTCGTCCGGCGTCTCACAGAGCCTGCAGACAGCGCAGGGTTGGTGCGTGGAGATCTGCAGAGGACAGCCAGGACGGCCTCCGAGCCCTTGGGTGTGGGCTCCTAGGGCTGAGGAATCCCCCCTCAGCCCCCTGACAGCGGTGGGGACAGCTGTTACCAAGCACACCCTGACAGAGAGGGAAACAGGCACGGGAGGGTGAGGAACAGGTGGAATGGTGGGTCCAGTCCAGTTCTGAGGGTCTCCAGGGCCCGCGTGCAGGAGCGCGGGGACACGACCCAGTGGTTTCCAAAGGCTGATGATTGCGAACCCTTTCTAGGCAGAACCTCTGTCAGCTCTAGGGACTGAGGAACACAGTTTGGGAACATAGCCCTTCTGCCCTGGCTTAGGGAGCTCCTCAGGTGCCCCCTGGGTTGTGGCACTGCTGCAGGGGAGGGGCGGGAAGGGGGAGGGGGCCGGACCATCCCTGGGGTGGGGGTGGGGTAAAATTGAAGCAGTTATGGAGACGCTGGGATGGCCAGGGGCAGTGGTACTTGGAAAATTGTCCTCACACATCTGCCAGGAGGGGGGATGCCACTGGCCAAAAGGGGTGGCTGGGCAGGGTCAGAGCCTTCCAGAAGGAGGAGATTGGACGCACCATCCTGCCCTGCCCAGGCACTGAGCTGGTCTTCTCCGTTGCTCTCCTGTCCTCCGCATCCATGGAGACATTTTCAATGCAACCCTGACTCCCCAGAGAAGCCCCTGCCTGCCAGGGTGGTCCCACCTGCCCTTCCGTGAGGCAGGGATGCTGTCTCATCCCAGCCCCAGAACATAGTAGGTCCTCAGTGACTCTCTTCTGGCTGTGTTTTAGAACAATCCCTTGGCAGCCCCAGAGAACGTGCCTCAGGTGAGGAAGCAGGATGGCCCTCCTGAGCGGCCACCGAGCCTCTCCTAGGGAGAAGCTGGTGTGCAGGCTGCCCTTCCCTGGAAGTCCCCTTGCCTGCTGCTGTCTGGAGTGGCCTCCCCTGGTTGGCTCCGGCCCCCAGCGCGACGGGACGGGAGTGGAGGGCTGAGGACATCTGGGGGGCCAGAGAGCTGGGGCCACCCACCCAGCACGCACATGGAGAAATCACAGCTTCTTTGGGACAGGAGGAAGAAACTCATTAACCCCTATCCAGACACGAGATCAGATCTAAGGCAGAAGTAATGGGTTTTTATTTTATGTTAAATTTCGCAGAAACTGCTCTTGTTCTCATGAATAACAACCTCCGTCCCCCCAACCTTTCGGGTGTGAGATACACAGATAAGACTACAAGAATTGAGTGCAGCGGACACCTCTGGGGGGCAAGGGGCATCTGGGGGGATGAACCCAGGCTGGTGTTCACTGGGGCAGCTTATTGCACGTGTCCCCAAATGCCTAGACTGCTCTCTTATCTGGGTGCCCACACGGTGGCTGGAGCCTCTTAGGGGATAATCCACAGCTTTGATTAATACATCTCCACGTGGAGACCCTCTCCGAGTCTGCGTCTAGCTGTCAGTCCACCCTGCATGGCTGCTTTAAGACACTTCTGGTGTCACCCGGCCCCCCAGGGTACAGCCGGGCTACACAGTCCCATTTTCTGTCTTTCTGCAGCAGAACCTTAGTTCCATTCCCATATTTCCAGGGAACTGAGTAACCCCAGCGTCTCCCTCCTGCTTGGTGGACCCTCTGTGCCAGGTGACCCCTGGCAGCAGAACTGACCCCCGGGGCGCGGCCTGGGGAGGGCCATGGACAGCTGAGACCACGTGCATCACAGACCCCCGGCCCCGGGCGCACTGGGCTATGGAACCGAGAGTGAGCAACCGTGGTGACTGTAAAAGTTAAATCTTTCTATTTATTTCAAGAAAGGACAAGGAGGTGGACCTGGGCATCTCATATGAAAACAGACAAACAGAAAATAGGACCAAGTAGTTAAATCACATTCATCTCAACATTGAAGTTCAAGGCACCTACAGGAAGGAGGCCCAAGGGCTGTTCGCAGTGCACTTTGGTTGTGTTGTCGCGGTGGCGGGTGGGTGGCGGTTTTCTGGAAACCCCTGTCTGGTGGTGAGGTTGGGAGTGAGGCAGGCGGGCACCAGGCCAGGCACGGCTGGGCCTTGAGGAGCCAGGCCTTGTCAGCCAGCCGGGTCGGACGGCAGCAGGCAGCAGCGGGGGTGGTGCCATCGCTCAGACCCCCCGAGAGCGCTTTGCCCTTCAGAGAAAGAGAAAAAAGAGAAGGAGCGTGCAGCCAGGGGGCCGTGGGGCTGGTTCTACAGGTAGGAAGGCCAGGGGTCGGGGAGGCCGGGGCCGCTGGTGCAGGGACCCTGGGACGACAGAAGAGGCCTCCGCCCAGACTCGGGAGGGACCAGCCTGTCCAGCCGTGCCCCGTGCCGGCAGCCCACCTTCTGTAGCAAGGGGCCTGTCCTGTTCAGCACGGTCGGGCGACCTCCCGGGCCCTTTCTCCCCTTCAGACCTCAGGGAAGGGCTTACCCTGGCACACTCAGGAGGCTTCTCGTACCCAGCAAGTACATCAGGCGAGGAGGTGCTGAGGGTGGCTGGTAAACACTCACTCTGCAGCTGCGTGGGGGTTGGGGTCCCTTGGCCTCCCTGCTCACACCTGCCTGGTGGCTCCAACAAGCAGAATCACATAAGCCACGGTCTCCCGCGAGCCTGTGACCACAGCCTGCTACCTCCCGGCCTTCAACATCATCTCTCCCTACTTCTCTCTCTCTCTCAGATGACGAAGATCCAGTGCCCAGGCCTCCCCACAGTTCTTAGCCTCTTTTAGGAGCTGGAAGACAGCAGGGTCCCTATCTATGCCCTTGAACCTGCCCGGGATGCCCTGTGGGCTTCTCCGCCGAGGCTGCTGGCAGGCGGCTGTGCTGGGTTGTGGGGGAATATCTAAGGCTACTTTCAGGGTTGTGTGTGTGTGTGTGTGTGTGTGTGTGTGTGACTTCCCCCTTGAGGCCCAGAACTTTTGGAGGAAGGGACTAGTCGTGAGGGGTGGTCTGGAACATGCCAGCACGTCTTCCATCCGGGCAGGTGGGAGCTACTCAGAACCCCTGGCTCTGGGGAGATGAGCCGGGCACCCCAGGTCCACCGTGGCTTTGATTGTCGGTCATGTCCTGTCTGGGTCTGTCTTGAGAGGGCCTGACGGGTTCCTCCAGGAGGGCTGCAGGGTGCGGGTTCTTGGCCAGGGCGGCGGGCCCTCTGCTGCTGTACTGCCTCCAGGCAGGGCAAGACTTGGAGAAGAGAACCTGAGTCACCCACGGGGCCGAAGCCTTGCTGGATCTCACGAATCCACGGCTCCCCCTCGGGCTCAGGCTCAGCCTGGAGATGCGCAAGATCCGCGGCAGAGTGGGGTGAGCCGCTTCCAAGAGGAGAAGTGCCCGGATGAGCCCCTCTCCATGCCAGGCCACCAGAGCAGCAGGTGTAGGACAAGAGGAGCCTGTTGGTGGCCGACACTCAGGCCTCAGGTGCGGAGCCAAGGGGGCAGGCGGGAGGAGGACATGAGAGGAGCCTGCAGGAGAAGAAAGGATTTCCGGCGCTCCCGTGTGCCAGGCACTGTGTGGCCTCCGTGAGCTCCTGAGGGCAAGGGGCTTGCACCCAGGCCCTGCCGGGGAGCAAGGGGACCTGGTCTCTCACCCATTGGCCATCCGAGTGGGAACTGTAGAGATTGAGGCCCGGGGAGCAAAGACCTTCCTGCAAGGACCCCCTGGGTGGGGGTGTGGGAGGTCAGGGGCCTGGGCGCAGGGCCAACGGGGCCTGCTCCAGTGGCTACAGTGCCTCGGGGTCTGGCCTTGGAGGAAGTGGGGCTGGCCAGCCCATTCATCTGCACACTGCCCTCAGCGTGCCCACTCTGAAGCGGGGCACTTCAGGGATGAAACTTCACTTCAGCTTCCAGAAGCTGGAGCCGCCCCAGGGCCGAGAACTGCCCTGGCCGTGACGTCTCTGGGGCAGGAGAGAAGAGGTGGGGATCCTCCCCCATGGTGGCGGGGGTCTTGGGCACACCTGGCAACCTCCCTTATGGTGAAAGAGTGGGTCCGACCCCAGGAATAACAGAATTTCCCAAACTAGAGAAAAACCACATATTAAAAATGCCCAGGCTGGCGGGGAGCACAGAGCAGAAGGGGGCCGGGCAGGAAGGGGGTGGAGAGCGAAAGGGATCTTTTTGTCAGTTTTTTTTTAAAAAGAAGCCAATGTAGATATTTCAGGCAACTACTTGGAACATTTCAAAAGAATCGTAAAGGCTTAAAAACACAGAGTGAACAGTGCCCCAGGCGCCGTCAACTGGCCGTGATGGATGGATCAGCCAGCAACCTCCCGAGTGCGGTGGTGGCTGTGGGGAGGCTCAGGCTTGAGAGAACAGGCCCCGGGGCAGCCTAATCTGGAGCCAGAGGGCCGGCAGGTGGCCCCTGTCAGCCCTCATCCTCACTTCCTGCTGGGGAAGCAGTGGCCTGTGTCTGTGCTTCTCCTGATAGGTCAAGGCTGGAACCAGGGTCTTGTTGTCAGCCCAACCGGGCTCTCACAGGAGAGTGTCTGCCTGTCCCCATCTAGAGCTTGAATGCTCCTAGTGACGGGAAGCTCACTGCCTGATTCCTTTGTTGGGCCAGAGTCTCTTTTCCCTGCCTTCGGTTTTCCCTAGTGGTTGGGCTACCCTTTCCCTGTGCCCAGGGAGCAGGTCCCAGAACAGCAGTCCTACGAAGCGATAGCACCAGCCGCTACTCCACGGCATGGCTCGTTGCCCTGAAGACACACAGAGTCTGGAGGGCAGGGCCAGAGTCTCAGGCTGGGGGCACGGACAGCTTCTGAAGGACACTGTGTCAGCCCTCAGAGACCCCCAGCTCTCCAAGTTGCCCAAAAGGAGCAGACGAGCCCCTGCCCCTTCAGCCAGGCCCAGAAAAATCCCTGCTGTGTGGACTGCCCCTTGGGACAGGTCCATAAACCACAAAAAATCCCCCTTTCCCTTCACCTCCAAGGAGTTTAATCTCTCCTAATCAATTTAGCAGACTCGCTTGGTTGTAAACGGTAATGATTTACATTTTTGAGCCTTTTTATCCCTCCTTAAGAAAAAAAATGCCTCCTCGTTCTGCATTCTGGAAGCCCGAGGACTGCTTGTTAGTGCTGGCCCTGGCGCCCCGCCAGCCCGCGCCAGCTGCCTTCACCTGCACTGATTTCAGGATGAACAGGGGAAACGGTGCATGGGACGCCCTGCGGACCCTGGCACGCCCTGGCCCTGACCCTGGGGTCTGGTCCTGGGGCGCGGCCACCTCACCCTACGGAGCCCACTTCCCTCCCCCCACCCCCGCCCCGCTCCCCGCCTGCCGCATCCAATTTTCCTTGTTGTATTTTTCATAAGTGAGAGGCTCAGAAGCCCCGTCCTCCTGGCTGTTCCGCAGGAAGCAGATTTCTGGAGTGGGCTGGCTTTGGGGCTTGAGCTGCTGTTGGCCAGGGTGGGATGCTGTCCTGAGGGGGTCCAGCTCCTGTTCTGTCCCCTCCTCAGTGCCGGCTCTGGGGGAGGGGCTCCGGGTGGCCCTCGGTCCTGGAAGCGCTGCCCATCACGCCCTGCTGCAGGCTCAGACTCACCCCTCGACCCTGCAGGAATTCTCCTACCTGCCTTGGGCCAACTAGAACCTTCCAGAATCAGTGGATGGGAGGGGCCCCACTCGGCCTTGGAGCACCCTGCTTTCCTGAGCGAAGCTAGACCCTGCCCCATTGCACCCTCTCCCTCCTTCCTGGGCCCCTGGGGAAGGTGGAGGGACTCGGGGCCTGGGGAGGGTGGGAGAGCGGCTTGCAGGGCAGAGTGGGCTTGGGCAAGGAGGGCTGGGCCCTTCCTAGTCCCTGCCCTGTTCCAGTGAGGGTCACCTTCCCTGCCAAAATTGCCCAGAGCAAGGAAGGAGCAGCGCCCCGCTTCTGCCCTCAACCCCAGCCTCCCGTCCCTGGTGGGGGAGGCAGGAAGGGCGACCGTGGAGGCCGGCCAGGAAGCGGAGCCCACTTAGTGAAGACAGGCTTCCGAGGCAAGGGGGAAGCGGGAAGGGAAGAAAGGGAGCTTCTGATGCACATCATGTCTGCAGAATCGAGTATGACTAATTAATAGATTTTATTCTTAGTGAGCTCTTAAGCATTCCATACGTTGGGCCCCGCGCCTGAGCTGAGCTTACAAGAGGCCTCATTCGCAAAATGCAAATGACACGTGGCCTGCTGCCTTCGCCTGTTCTTCCCTTTCCGGTTTTTTTTTAGGGGAAATTTAAAGGAAGATTGCCATGTAATAGAAAAGAGATCCCAATCGCCACGTCAATTGCTATGAAGGGTGAACCACTTAACCAGAGATGTGTCGGGGTTGCTTTTGTTTAAACCTGAAACCTGTCTAAATGCCACAACATACACTGGTCCATGCTGGGGCCAGTGAGGTGGTTCTGGCTGGTGGAGGCCGCGGCTCAGGGTGGTGGGGGGCATGTAGCAGCCCGCGGCAGGGAGGTCTTCGTGGGCCCTTGGGGTGTCGTCACCGCACACTTCTAAGCGGGGAGCTGGGCACCAGGCCCCTCCTCCCTCTTACAAGGGTTGGCCAGGTGAGGACGGGGCTCCAAAGGGGACTTGGCTTCAGCCACCCTCTCTGGCTTGGGGGCCCTGGCAAAGCAGACACTTGGTGGCTTGCCCTTAGAAAGGACACTGTGCAGGTCAGGGACAGAAAGGACAAGAAAGGATCCTAGAGGGGGCCCAGGGCCCTGGCTGGGTGGTCTCCACCTTCACCAGCATTAGTACCCTCTTGGGGGTGGGGGGTGCCTCTCCTCCTGTGGGGGCCCATCAGGCAGACTCTGGTCTCTCCAGCCTGGTGTGACAGCCAGGGGAGCAGACCCATGTGGTCCTCGGGCTGGGTGCTCTGCCTGGGCAGTCGGCAGGGCTCTGGCAGGCCTGGGCCTGCTCTGTGGGAAGGGAGGGAGCTTTGCCACCCACCTGCTGCTCTCCAGCACTTGGGCCCTGGGCTCCTTCCCTGCCGAGCAGGGCCTTCTCAGTAGCTCTCAGAGGCAGGGCCACCTGCCACCCCTCAATGGCTTCCTGGCCATCAAGGGGGATTACCTGGCCTTCCCTGGGGCAGGGAAAGGAGATGGGAGACCAGGTGAGCTAGGGACAGAGCATGCTGACACTGCCATCTCACAGATGCAGGAGGGGTGACTTGGGGACCTGCAGTGGGGAGGCCAGAAGGGCCCGAGACCCTTTCCTGGGACCCTGGAAGATGCATTGCTTCAGAAATACAGAGCCCTGGGACTTCATCTCCCTGGCTAGTGCCATGTACCTGGCCCTCCTGTGAGCTCCCATTTGTGTTGGGGGGGTCCCCTCTGGCTCCTCCGTCTGGGGCAGCTGGCTGCAGCGGGGGGGGGGGGGGCGGGGACTGATGTGCACACTGACCTGAAATTAAGGCTCGGGAAGCTTCTCTCCTACCTCCTTGTGTGGGAAAGGATTCAGGCAGGAAAAGGGAACAAAAATGGTCTCCCTTAAACAAACCCTGCCATGCCCTGGGCACTCCCTGGGGCTGGAGGATCCGGTCCCTGATTGGTGGGCGACGGCTTGGACAGCAACAGGAGCCTGGGCCCCATTCTCCTCCCCTGGAGCAGCGGCTGGGTCCACTTCTTTCAGCCCCACCTCTTCGCTGAAGAGCTGCTCAGCTCTTTTGATGTCCAGCGAGCGGACAGCACCCGGCACGTCGTGGGCAGCCCTCTGAATGCTGCTGGACTCTTCTTCCGGCCTTTGCTTTGGTCAAAGTGGCAGAGGCCTTTGAAGGTGCCACTGCCAGGAGCCAGAAGCCTCTCATCCTCCTGCCCTCAAGCCAGCATCTCTTCTCTGATGTCCCTTTTTCCTGGTGCAGGGCAAGTGGCGCTTTGACCAACAGTGACCCACGCTTCCGAGCACGGGAAGCAGCAGGCCTCAGAACCCGGGCCGCGCTTCCCTCCTCTCCAGGGCCGCTGCCCACGCTTCATCGTCGTGTTGACCTCGGAACACTGTCAGCCGATAAATGATGGCAGCATCCCTTCCAGAGGGAGGAAATGAAATCCCAGCTCTTCTGAGGGCCCCGTCAGAGCCTTTTTGGAGGCTGGCATTTTTAAAAAGAGATCTGGTCTCTCATTCCCGAGAACAGAGCCCCAGGTGTGGAGGCTGATGTCTCCCAGTGATTTTCTGAAAATGTTCTTTTTCTGGGCTTTGTTTGTGCAGCCGTGGAAACTAATAGATCCAGTCAGCTGATTTTATATTAGCTATCAGTCCCTGCACTAATGACCTGCCCCAGGAGGAAGCACGTAGGAAACGCTATTGAGATGACTACATCTATTGCGGGGGAAAAGAGGGGAGATGAGGGTCCTGGCAGACCAAGAAGGCTTTTCTCTGTATCAGGAAGGAGCGTGGCCCAGCTCTGGCCACACTGAGATGGAATGGAAATGCAGGTCCCCGTGCCCAGCTCCTCCCTCACCCACCCCACTGGGACACATGCCTCTGCCTCTGGAAACAGCAATACCCTCCACCCAGGCTGAGGCTCCCCCCTCCACCTACACCCATCCCCAACACGTGGTTTTACTTACTCAATGATTTCTAGGAGAAAGCAACATTTTTGCAATTCTATTGTCTCAGGAAATGGTAAGAACTGACCCAAGAAGGACTTTAAGGACAGTCTATGCGGCTCTGTCTACCCATCTGGACTGAGAGACGCAACACAGATAGACGGGCAGACAGACGCACCTCCAGGTGGCAGGGAAAGCTACAGCTTCCGTCAGGGCGTCTACGGAGTATGCTGCATGGAGCTGAAGAACATTCAGCATGGGAAAAAAAAAAGCTGGATTTTTTTTTTTTAATCGACTACATTAACTGTTCCAAGAACGCAGTGGAAGATGCCGTATTTCTGCAAATCTGTAAGGGAAATGGCATGGGAAGAACCAGGGAAGAGGTTTCAGGACAATATCTCCATAGCGAAAGATCTCTTCTTCCCCCGTCTCCTTTGTGGGGGTCCCAAAATCCTTCCATCACATCGTGGCCAGCGAGGGGCTGGCCGTAGAATCGCTGCATGCGGGCTTCGGATCAGCTGCTTCTCCCTGACGGTTCTTTTGTGACTGCCCTGAACAGAGCGCGAGGTGTCCACAGACGTTGCACAGGTAGTATCTTCCCAGTTCAGGAAAAAAAATCCCCAGCCCAACCCTTTCTGCAGTTATCGTCGTTAGCCTTCCCTTCCCCAACTGGCGCGACGCGATGTAAGTCACTCTCCAGCAACGCGGAATCCCCTCCTGCCTTCTATTCTTTAGAGAAAAAAAAAAATTTTTTTTTTCACTGTCGTGTTCTACAAAATCAATGACCCTCCCCAAACTTGGCCTTCTGCCAGACGGTCATCATGGACCTTCTCTTCCTTGCTCTCGGGTTGCAGCGGGCTGGGCGGAGCCTGTCACCACCCCTGTCGGCCTTGGGGACAGGGCTGGGCTGGGGCTGGGGGAGCCGGCCTCAGGTGTAGGAGTAGTCTATGTCGGGGATGCCGCCTTCCCGGTAGCCCCGCGTGGTGCCGTAGCCGATGGTGTGCGTGCCCTTGCAGAGGCTGCTGCCGTTGGAGGGGAAGATGGTATGGACCACGTACTCCTCTTTGGCGCGGTAAGGGTTGATGGGCAGCATTTGCAGCCCCGGGCCACGGATTTCCAGAATGGAGTTGTCCTTCTTGGTCCCCGACTCCATATAGTCGTCCTTCTTGCGGCTGCCTCGGTGGTAGGCCCTGTCCCGGGTCAGCAGCTCACCAGCCCGGTGCACGTACCAGCAGATGGCCCCCAGGACCAGGAAGAGGAAGACGAGAGCCACGGCCCCACCGATGATGCCGGCCAGGGGTAGGCCTGCCACGGGGCCGGCGTTCTGCTCCTGGTTGAGCGTGGTGGTGGGGCGGTAGCTGTCGGCCGTCTCTGCCTTGGCACACACCGGCGTCTCGTCGGCCGCGTAGGTATTGCTGGTCTCCATGGTGACCATGCAGATGATGTAGGTGGACTTAGGCTCCAGGGCTGTCAGCAGGTACTCGGTCTTGTCCCCCTGCACCAGGGTCTCTGTGATGGAGCCTACGGCCGGGCTGTGGCCCAAGCGCAGCCAGCTGAGCCGGAAGGAGGAGGCAGGGAGCGTGGCCTTCCACGTGATGCGGATGGAGTCAGCCGTCAGGGGCTTCACCTGGATGACCAGGGTCTTGGCACCGTCACCCGTGGCCATGGGGTAGTCGATGTTGGAGTCGGGGAGGCGCAGCCCAGGCCTCTTGGCCTTGAGGGTGAAGAGGGAGCCCTGGGGCGTGGTGGCGGAGGCGTGGTTGCTGGCCGTGGTCTTGGCCGCCGCGTTGGCCGCCCCACTCTGCGACCCTGTCTCAAAGCACTCGTCCATCTCGCTGGTGATGTCCTTGATGGCCATGCCGCGGACCTTCTCGGGGCCCTGGCACATGAGGCCCCGCACGTTGACCACGGCGGCCCGCGCCTTCACCCAGTCCCGCAGCCACATGAGGTTGCAGCCGCAGAACCAGGGGTTGTTCCGGAGCAGCAGCTGTGCCAGGTTCCCCAGGTCGTCGAACAGGCCACGGGGCAGCGTGGTGAGGTTGTTGTTGGACAGGTCCAGCCGCTCCAGCTCGCGCATCTTGGCCAGCGTGTTGTAGGGGATGTGGCTGATGGCGTTGTCCTGCAGGTAGAGCTTCTGCAGGTGGGCGCTGGGCAGGTTGAGGGGCGGGGCGGCCAGGGAGTTGCGCACCAGCGAGAGCTCCGTGAGGTTCTGCAGGCGGCTGAAGGTGTCGTCGGCGATGCGCTGGTTGGCCAGCAGGTTGCCGTCCAGCACCAGGCGCCGCAGGCTGTTGAGGCCCTTGAAGGCGTGCAGCGGGATGGTGGAGATGCGGTTGTCGTCCAGCCGCAGCTCCTCCAGCGTGTGGGGCAGCCCCGAGGGGATGCTGCTCAGGTGGTTCCGGCTCAGGAAGAGCAGCTTGAGCTGTTTGCTGTCGGCAAACGCGTCCTCCTCGATGCTGACGGTGGACACGGAGTTGTCGTCCAGGTGCAGCTTCTCCAGCAGCGGGATGCGGGCCAGGGAGTCCCGGGCGATGGTGCGCACGTTGTTGTCCTGCAGGTGCAGCTCGCGCAGGGACCGGGGCAGGTTGATGGGGAACTCGTCCAGGTCGTTCTCGTACAGGTAGATGACCTGCACGTTGGCCTTGGTCTTGAGGTCCTGGGGGATGCCCGCGTTGTTGATCTGGTTGTTCTGCAGGTACAGGGTGGTGGCGTCGTCGGGGATGTCTGCGGGGATGGAGGTGAGCCCCCGGTCGTTGCAGTAGATGAAGCCATTGTCACAGCGGCACACAGAGGGACAGGTGGTGCTGTCGATGACCTCCGTCAGGAAGGCGATCAGCCCGTAGCAGAGGAACAGCCAGTCCCGCAGGTCCATGGTGGCCGTAGTCATCACAACCGTGGCCGTGACGGTGGTGGCAGGTGTGGTCGTGGCGGTGGCAGCAGGGTGTGCCACCACCATGGTGGACGGCTGGGGGAGCCGGGCCCCACCTCACCTGGAGCCTCAACACCTGCAGAGAACACAAGACAGGTGACAGGAGGACACAAGACAATGACAGCAGCCTGAGAAAGGAGTGGTGTGCCCAGCTGCCTGCTGCCGAGGGGTCATCGAAGTTCGTCCGGCAGCGCCACGCCAGGCTTAAGGCCCAGGTGGGGAGTATTCAGCTAAGTCTTGGGCCCTTCAGGGACTTCCTTCTTACCCATTCGCTATTCCTTTGGTTGGGTTTTCCAAATGTTTTCATACAGCCCCCAATACAATTAGAACCAGGGCCTCTGGTGAAATTAGGTTGAATGTAATTGGTTAGCTATACTTAGTCTCCTAATGTCCCTTACACTCAAGGATGACTGGATTTCTGAGTTGGCACTCCTTTGCTCTCACCTGCTCAGTTTGATGCTGAGAAAACTCCCCATAGGTGCTACTGTTTTTTAAATCTGTTCATGTATGCCCATCTCACACTTAATTGGCTCTGATTTATGTGGTTTGGACAATGAGGGAGTATTGGGTAAGAATACTAATGTTTGTAACTAATTTTTCAGTAATTAATTTTATTTTGTGGGATTTATTTTTCTGGAGACTAAATCCAGGGGTGCTCTACTACCCAGCTACATTCCTAACTCCCCCTCTCTCCCCCCCTTTTTTTTTGAGACAGGGTCTTGCTAAGTTTCTGAGGCTGTCCTTGATTTGGAGATCCTGCTGCCTCAGCCTCCCATATTGTTGGGATTATGGGTTTGCGTTATAGCACCAGCTAATTTTTCAGTATTTTTGAGAGGAAAAAGAGAATAAAAAAAAAAAAAAAAAAAAAAAAAAAAGGCCCAGGTGGGCTCTCTGGCTGAGGCTGGGCTCAGTAATATCGGCTAACGCAACATCCCCTTCCAGGAGCTAAACTGGCACTTTCTGCTCCCGGGTGTCACCGGGAGGCTTGGGGGAGGTTAGTCCCAGCCGCCAGGCTGCAGCCGGGCCTCTCTCAAGATTTCATGCTAAGCCACTTTTATGGACCCTGCTAAAGGTGCCGGTCAGTGTGGAGGGGTGGACTCGGGGCATGCTGTGTGGACTTGGAGCCACCGTTTCCCCCTGGAATGGAGAGCGCCCAGGGTCTGAAGGGAAAGCTTTTGAAAGAGCTCGCAGGGGGTGTCGCTGGGACCTGGCAGCTTCGTTACTGGTGGGTGGCGAGCGCCGAGCTTCATTGTCTGGTGGCAAAACACCTTCTCCTGCTTGTCGCTCGTACACTTTATAGACAGAAAGAGAAGGTGTCAGCAGAGCGGCTTTCTTGTGTATTTACAGAAATCACTTGTTACAGAGGCGCCTTCCCGGGCCCCGCATTCTGTGCTGAGTGGGAACTCATTCCACACCTTGCCCCTTCCCCATCCCCAAACTTTCAGCTCTTCAGAAAAGAAAAAAAAAGTGTCTATGCCTATCTAGATTTCTCTCTCTCTCTCTCTCTCTCTATATATATATATATATATATATATATATATCAGCTTTCTTGCATTTACAGGAATGAGACAAATAAGCAGGGAGGCGGCGTCTGCACGCTGAGGGAATTGTCAGCAAGGTGTAATTCCAGTTTTCACAAATGGAAAAATTGCGGCGTAGATTTTTCTCATATTATTTTACTGTTCATAGTGGTAAAAAAAATCAATTAAGAGAAAATATCTTTCCGTCTCAGTAGGGTAGGCGTCTCTGTACAGCTGGCAAAGGTCTACTGGGAAACTCCGGGGTCGTGAGACTTTCCATGGTGGGACATGATGGCTTCTCAGGCCTGAGCCAAGCCTCCAGCCTGGGAGGGCCGCCCAGAGGGTGGAGGAGAGCCAGCACCTTGCTCGTGCCACAGTGACTGAGTGTCTTGTTCCCCTACCAGGCCAACCCTGTCTGTTCCTGGCCGGCTACTCTCTCCACCCTGCAAACTCATCTTCACCGTCCAGGACCCAGTTCTGCTAAGTCCTCCAAGTATCCCAGCGAGAGCGTCCTCTGCTCCATCCACCCACTTGTCCATGCTTCCATCTGCCAGTCCATCCACACATCCAGCAATCCACCATATCCACCCACTCTCTGTCCACCCATCCACTTGCCCACTGATCCATCGTCCATGCTTCTATCCATCCATCCGTCACACCTTACTGAGCATTTACCATGTGCCAGCTCCTTGGGGCCCCATTCTGTGGGCACAGTAGCTCACACTATAATACAGACTTTGTTTAGATCTTTCTGAATTTTTAAGTCATTTAATTCTCCCAGCAAACGTGAAATCAGTGGGTTTTTTTGTTTGTTTTGTTTTGTTTTTCTGTCAATACTGGGAATCGAACCCAGGACCTTGCCCATGCTAGGCAGGTGTTCTGCCACGGTGAGCCACATCCCGGCCCCCGTGCCCTTCTTATTCACATTTAACAGGTGAGAAAGCCAAAGTTTAGAGATGTCGACTTGCTCAAGGCCGCTTGAGACGTGAAGGGGAGGCCCGGCTCTCTGGGTCACAGGCCGCAGCCCCTCATTGCTGGGCTCGCAGCTCTGAGTGTGGTGTGCTGTGGGCGCTTAGTGTTTTCATGCCCCTGGCCAAACTGTGGTGTTAAAGGCAGGTCCTGTGGCCCTGTGGCCCTGTGTGGCTTGGCTTTAGTGACCACCCAGCATGGGAGGGAGCAGGCCCTGAGCTGTCCTTGCACCCTTAGGCTCCTCTGGTGTCCACATGGACTTCCACTTGGCCAGGCCAGCAGAGCTCCCGCCTGGCCCTGGCGTATGCATGGTCCCCTCTTAGGGCCTTGGTGGCGTAGAGCTTTGTCTATGAGGTGGACCCAGTTCAGGTCCTGTCTGGAAGCAACTGAGGGCGAGGGAGGGGCGTGCAGGGTGCAGGGCCTGCCCCAGAGCTGGAGGGCGAAGAAGCCCCAGCCCAGACCAGGCAGCCAGGACCCCAGTGGCCCCTGCTCACATCTCTGGAGACTGGGGATTGGCCTTGGCTTCCCGAACACAGAGCCCAGCCCCCCCTTCCCTGAGCTCCCTGCTCTGTGTGGTGTGGAAAGCTACCAACGTCTCTGTTGTCTGTTTCCTTGGTGACCCAGGAGGCCCTGACTCCCAAGCCGGTCTCTGACCCCTTCCTTCTCCTAACTCCCTCTGATCCAAGCCTTGCCCCCTGTTCTCCAGCCCCTTCTGCCCTCCTGGGCACCCAGAGTCACCTGGAAAAGTCCTCATGTCACCGCCCCCCCCCCCAAAGCCCTCTAAGACCCCACGGGAGCCTGGTGTGGTGGTGCCCATGCAAGGCCAGCAACTCAGGAGGCGGAGGCAGGAGGATCACAAGTTCAAAGCCAGCCTCAGCAACTTGGCAAGGACCTAAACAACTTAGCAAGACCCTGTCTCAAAATAAAAAATAAAAAAGGGCTGGGGATGTGGCTCAGCGGTCGAGTGCCCCTGAGTTCAATCCCTGGTACAAAAAAAAAAAAAAAAAAAAAGTCCTCGCCTAGGAGGCAGTGCCACAACCCAGCAACTTTGTGTCTTCTTTGCTGCTGTGTCCCCTGGGCCCATTGTGTAGACGAGGAAACTGAGGCATGTGAGACTTGGCCCTGTCCCTGGCAGGGGGTGGTGGAGCCTGGACTCCACCCTAGGCCTCTCTCACTGTGGGACCTCAGGGCTTGACCAGAGTGCTCTGCTGGGGACGAGTCCCCGCCTGCCCTGGGACAGTGGTGGCGAGCGGGGCCGGAGCTGAGGGCTCTGCGGTGCCTCCTGCCTGCTCAGCCTGTGGTGTCAGCAGAGCAGATGGACACGTGGGCACCCAGCCCTCACCTCTCATTGCCTCTGGGACTAGAAGGGCACCCACCAGGTCACGGCAGAGGACAGTCTTGAAGCAGAAGATGGCATGTGGCCCGGGCCTTGCCTGCTCCCTCTTCCCTGGTGACAGGTGCAAAGGCCCAGGGGGGGCACCTTGCCTGACCGTCACCTTCACACAGGTCTTTGGTTCTGTTTTGCAAGGGACCAGGCTGGGGCTCTGAGCTAAGGGGCCTGTCCAGGGTCACAGCCCGCCCAGGCTGCCAGCTCCCCTTTGGGTAAAGAGCCAGGACCACGAGGGGCGTGGAACCTGTCCCGGGGGCTTATGAGTTGGGAAGGCGGGCGGGCAGTGGGGCCTGGAGCCAGGAAGACCCAGACCCACTCAAAGGCCACCTATCCTGGTCTCTGGGATCATGTCTGAGCACTGCTGCCCAGGCCCCTGCACCTGGCCCGAGGACACACACCCTCCCTGTTCTGTCACTGCTGAGTCTGGCGTGAGGGACCCCGTGGCTTCTGCCCTTGGCCGTGGCGGGGCAGACTTATTAAGGCCAAGGCCAAGGCCAACCCACATTCTCTGGCATGGACATCTGTTCCTGGCACCCGCTCAGCTCGTGGCCACGGTCTTGAGCCTCCAGAGGCCCCGGCGTCATAATAGAGTCTAAATTGCACCTTTCAGAGATGCGTGATGGATAACCGGGACGCGCGGGAGGCAGGGACCCAAGGCCTTTCCGCTCCTCCGTCTGCCGGCTCATCCATCTTGGCCAGAGTCTCCCCTGCCGCCCCCGTCCCCAGGGCCAGCCTGGAGAGTGAGCCCTGGGGCTCCAGGAACAGGGGAGCCTGGGGAGGGGAGGGCGTCAGCAGGTGGCACCTCGCCAAGGAGCCCTTAACTGCCCGGGCGATTCCTTCTTGTTGTGTGTTTGGTAGTTTATGTGGCCATCAAATTAAACCTGGTAAATGGCCCATCTTTTACGGGATCACCTGTCATCGTCGTGCAGATCCGGCAGACTCCACTGAGGTGTGAGTTATGACCTGCCGGCCGTGTGACTGACAGCTGTGTGCCACTGGTGGTGGAGGAGGGGAGCCGCAGATGACTTAGGCTGGAGGTCCGCCTTGGCTGAGGGGGGCTGTACTTCATGCTTGGTGCTCTATCTGTTGCTGGCTCCCGCCACTTTCCAGGATAGACAATTCTGGGTTCAAGTCCTGCCTCTGCCACTTAACAGGCTGTGTGGTTTTGCACACCTTGGTTGCACCCTCTGAGCTGCA